TATTAAAGTAGTGTGTGTGTGTGTGTGTGTGTGTGTGTGTGTGTGTGTGTGTGTGTGTGTGTGTGTGTAGCTATAGCTTTAGCAATTAGTTGTTGAACAAAAAGTTTAAACTGCAAAGTCAATTCTCAGTGGGTTACATAACATGACCGGTGTTACCACTTAAGGAGATTTTAGTAGCTGCTTTGTGTGAATAAAGTAAACACAACAAACCAAATCAGCCAAAAGGTAAACTAGGCTCACCTTGCATCATGCCCCTGTAGACTGCCAGGAGAAAGAGGCTGCCAAAAAGCAAAGTAGGATAGGCTTATGCCGAGAGAGCCCTGGCACCATGTCTCCTGCTGGTGAAACACAGTAATTGTCTCTGAGATCTGAAGTGGGTTTAAAACCACCAGACTCTCCATGCTAAACTTGCGCATGCTTCAAGGCTTTGGTTTTTTGTGTGTGTAAAACTGAAATTCCTATCTAAAACAACTTGCTAGGTATTTACTTGAGAGCAGAAATATGAGAGCCCTGACTTCTAATCCTATAGTGCAGCATTGCATCCATTTAACCAGCTCTCAAAGCAGGTTTTCTGTTACTGCTCTCTGCTTCCTTACTTAAACGTTTAAATTGGTAACTTTATTTTACTTGCTTGAGCATTAATTTCCCCCCATAATCTTTGCATCAGTATAATTAATTTTAAATGTTCAAATTTTCTAGCCTTCTGTGTATTGTTTAGGGTGGGATTTCTGAAAGTACTTAAGTGCTTTTTAAAAATCCACTTTTAAATAATATAATTGCTCTTCTGTTTCATGAGTGCTGCATTACAAGGCCTTTCAATGAGGGAATCTGATAATTGCTAAGGAAAACAAATGGGCACTGATGATGATAGATTAATAATTACAAAACTAATGAACAATAGACGCTCAGATCCAAAGCAGGATGTCTGGAGCTTATGGGTTGTTGAGGCCACTCAGAAGGGTCAGCAAGGTAGTTTTAGTTTTACTACAGATAAAATGGCAAGTCATTTAATCACTAAATGATGGCTATTCTGATTGGACAAAGCCAATCCACTGGTCTTATAGTTTGTAATGCAGCATTCATTTAAGCAGGTGATGTGCTTTGTTTTAGATGGATGGCTTTGGGGAGAGCCAGTAAAGAGCTTTATCAGACAACTTATTTCTTTTCTTTGTCATCCAGAAACCGAAATGAGCTAGCTGAGACGCTTGAGCTTTTGAAAGCACAAATCGATCCTGCACTGTTGAAAAAGAACAACCAGCAGGACAGCTCATCACGTGAAAGCCCTAGCATAGAAGATGAAGATAGCAAAAAGGAGGAAGAAATATCTCCACCAGGTTTTCTACCCTCTTTTTTACCAAGCTTTAGACATTGTGCTGCATCATATCAAAATGTTAAACTTCCTGAAAAATGAGAGGATTAGAATAGGCCTGTTTTTTTTTGTTTGTTTTTTTATTTTCTAAGCTAAAATTCTCTGATCCATGTATCAAGGATACATTTTTAAACCTTTTCACACATTTTAAAATTCAAAATAATTTGGGTGTGTACTCAGTTTACTTTAAAAAAAAAATCCCAACAAATTACATATACAACTTTCCATTCTTTTAAAAAAATGTAACTTTGTTTTTGTGGTATTTTGTGTAACACCATTGACACTTGACATTTGCTTTCCTATCCCTTATCTTTCTTTCATTTGTCATGCATTAGGTTTCAACCCAGCCTCACGTTTCTAATGGACATGAAACTCCTTCTACCCCCCAAATTTGTGTAGTGGCATAATTGATGTCAAACACCACACCCATAGTTGTGTTGACATTGGCTTTGGCTTTGTATCACAAAATATGGATTTTTCTTCACTTTAGTAACCTATGCTTTAAAATCAAGAGCAACACATGAGTTCAAGATAGTTTTAAATTGTTGGATGTAAGTACAGTATTGTCAGGTAGCTTAATAATCCCAATGAAGATCTGTGATGAGCTTTGTTTGATAACAAGCCCTTAACTGTGCACATTTTATTTTTCTCACCAGTGAAGAAACATTACTTCATTCCTTACTGCTTTGACACTGCATATTTCTGATATGTTGCCTAACTTATTTGATGTGTTGGGTTTTTAATAGGAATCAGTTAATGTTAAATGCTTCTCCTTGTAGTAAAAGACCTAATTTTTCAGGTTCAAAGCAATTAAAGGCCTGTCTCCCCTGGGGAATCTGGTTTTAAAATTGGTTTGCATTTTTGGGGGGAAATTTCCACAATGGGGACAAGGCTTTCAGGATCACATTGTGCCCTCTGTTACACCCATGCCAATCATATTAAAGATAGTGAGTGTTATAGGTGTAACTGTGGGCAGAATTTGGCCCAGAGTTCTGGCCTACAAGAGGAAGTATTGCTATTTCATTGACATTCGATGCATGTTCTTCCAAAGAACTGGTGAAGGGAAGAAGCAATTAATACAATGATATAATATTGTGAGGTGCTGTAGAAACAGTGCAGAAATCTTATTGTACAATTAACTGTATCATTGCTAATATCAATAATTAATGCAGAGTATGATCTGTATTGGTTGATATAAGTTTAATATAACTAAGATATTTGACAATGGCTAAAGTTGCAATTACATTGCAAATAAGAGATGATCAAATCTCCCCAATACTACAGAGTTAATTTCAAGCAATGGTCTTGAAATTGGTTCAGTAAAAACTGGTCAGACCAGTTTAAGCTACCTAAACTCAGGGCTATGCTTTGGCTCTAACTGATTGATTTAAAAGTCTATTTAGCTGAACCAGTTTTAAAACAGTTCTCCAGTATAGACAAGCCAATCATGAGACAAGACAGCACAGTACACCAATCCATCAAAGTTCGCTAATGTCACTATTCATGTTGGGCTAGCATCTGATATGCATTGCTTGTAGAATTTCTAGTGCTAGACAATGGGGTTGTGTCTATACCAGACAATGGAATTACTTGTAGCTGGTTTAGGTACAAAGAGTTCAGCACTTAAACCATTCCAGTTGCACAGCCCTCTGGTACCTATCGCACAATCCAAGTAATACTTTCAGAAACTGTATGTTCTGGGAGATGGTGAAATAACACCCTACCCCGGAATGTACTGTTTGTTTGTCCACATCTACACCGGCACTAAATTATTCCATACTAAAACAGTTTAAACTGAACCACTTCTTAAATCTGCTGAAAGTCTACTCTACTCAAATGATGTTTTGAGAGCTTGTAAACAGCTAAAGCCCTCTTTGAGAGTGGATGTGAATGCTTTGATGTAGGGAACTAAATCAGTTCTTAGAATGGGGAATTTGTCTAGCATAGACAAGGATTAGAACGGCTGCTGCCCTCTAATGTTAGAAGCTTGAGGGAGAGGCATAGCCAAGGGAAAAGCGTTGCAAAAGAAAGAGGTCAGAGACAAGGGAAGAGGAAGCGGGAAAAGAGTAGACACAGAAAATGTATCCTACTCTTCTCTCTGGTAAGCACTGCCTTCAAGAAAGCCACTTGCAGCATTGATTTACATTCTGCTTTCCCCTGTAACTTCTCATCTAAGTAAGGAGGAAAAAATGGGTCTGGACCCTTTGAAATATTGTCCCTGGTTTTGCATTCATGGGGAGTTGACTTCTCTCTCTGACTTCTGAAACTAACTAAATTGGGTTTGGTTTTTCTTTCAAAGTCCCTTGAGTTTCTCCTCACCAATTTTTTCCCTTCTATACACTGTTTTCTTGTTTCCTGTTTGAATGTGAGTTAAGCTAGCTCTTGGATTCCCCCTCTTCATTTAGAACTAAACCAGCATTTTGGGACGCTTTCATCTGGGAAAGGACTTAAGTTAGTGCAGGGGGAAAGGAATAACTTGGTGCTGGGATTTACTGCATTTTGGAATAGTAAGAGCCTTTCAAGTGTTGGAAGATCACACTGCAGAATATATAGTGCTATTACATCTCATTTTTTGTTGACTTGTATCACACACCTACTGAAAATTGTATCTCAACTTCTGGGCAAAGACCATATCATCTAACTCTGGATAGATCTGCTCCCTGCAGTTTTCTCTGATGTACTTGTACTCTGCACTTATTTTGTACGTGTTGGTCCCGTTGAAGTCAACGGGACTTGTGTGTGTGAAATGAATGCAGAATGTTATTTATTATTTGTATTGTGGTAGCACATAGAAGACCGAGTCATGGACCATGGCCCCACTAGACTGCAACAAATCTGGGTGAATTTTGGTTCAGGACATAGTATTTCAGCTTCTCCTCTTCTCTCTGAAACAGAAAAAAATAATAAGCAAACCCTTCTGAAAATATCATTGTGTGTAAACAAGAGTGTGGTTTGGATGTGGACACGTCACTTGAAGTTCTAGTATAAGGAATTCTGTAAAACATTTTGTCATAGTGAAATAATGCAAACTGTCAAGTCAGACTTCTTTTAAAAACTAGTGTTACAGACCTCGTGCTTAGATTTTATGTACACACTTTTAGAAAAAAATTACTAAAACTGATTAAGGAGCTAAAAGGTCAGCATAAAAAAGATAGATCTGGGGCTCTGCTGATATTCTCTGTTAAGTTTAGAATTATATCTGGTTTTCAGTTGAACTGAACTGCTGTTCTGTCCCATTCTTTAGCTAATATTTGTCAATCAGATGGCAAATGCCAGTGTTAGGCCAAACCCTTAATTTCATTAGAGAGGACTCATTTTGATTGTTGTAGGATGCATCTTTAGCTTTATTTTTTTTATCTAGAATTCATCTGCTTATGTTATATTATTTTGTTTCTATTTTAACAGGAAATGAATTAAAAATAAAAGAGGAGGAGGAGAACATGGAGGAACAGTCAAAGGAATTGGAAAGCCTTCCTCCACCTACAGTTCCAGCAGATGAAAACATGATGAAAATGGAGAAAGTGGAAGAAAAGGAAATTATAAAACTGCCAGTCATAGTAAAGCTAGAAAAACCTTCAGAAAACAGTGAGGAAAAGCAGATTACCAAAGAAGAAAATGATTCCTTTAAAGAAAATGTCAAGCCTGTTAAAGCAGAAGTGAAGGAAAATAAAGTAGAACCAAAAGATTTAAAAGACGTTAAAAGCAGCACAGATAAAATAACAGTACATGAGCCTGAGAGATTAGAGTTTTGTGTCAATGTCAAAACCCCTCAAGAAGTTGTGGAGAAATCTGCAGAAGAAAGTGAGAAACTTAAAAATGACCAGCAGGCAAAGATACCACTGAAAAAGCGAGAGATCAAGCTGACAGATGACTATGACAGCCCAATAAAGGGGTCCTTGTGTAAATGTGTTACTCCAACAAAGGATGTCTTGAAAGAGGAAGGAAAACCAGAGGAGGAGGGTTTTAGACGAGTGCCTACAATCACTGCTTTATGTCCTGATGGGAAATTGCTAGTAAATGGAGAGGTTACCAGTGAAAAAGTCGCCCAAAATGTCACCCAAAATAATAAGTCAGAACATTCCATTAGCACAAAGGAAGACAGCAGCAGCTCATCGAAGGAGAAAAATTGCATAAGTGGGGGGAAAATATCAGACTCTTTAAACTCTGTTAGCAAAATTGTGAAAACATATGAAGATCAGAAAAATGTGCCTACCGACAAAGAGGTAGCTGCTACGATCTCTGAGGTTTCTAATCAGAAAGTGCCTTTAAAGGAGGAATCTAGTCTTATGGAAAAAGAGTCCCTCGACAGTATGACTTCTGAGGTGGCAATGGAGGACTCGTGGAAAGCAGGATACTGCCCCAAGAAACCTGAAGAGAAATTAGCTTTGAAAACTAGGAAGGACAGACGACCACCACTCAAAGAATGTTTAGAAAAGCTGGAAAAGTCCATGAAGACATCCACTCCTAAGGAGCCATCCAAGCTTGATCTAACAGATGAAGAGGGTTTGAAAAGTAAAAATGAACTGGAGAAGAAATCTGACTCTCCAAAAGCAGCTGAAACACCTCCATCATCTATTCCTCCTGTTCCTTCCGAGAAATCTGCTTTAGAAAAAGAGGGCTCAGATTCCAAAAACATACTTCCTGATGAAAGCAAAGTTCAGGAAGGATCAGATTCAGAAAAACAAAAGGAGGAATTCGAAGTTCCCCGGACAGAACCAGACAAACAAGATAATGCCCAAACCTCTAATATAGAGGAGTCTTCAGAGACTAAAAAGGAATCTCCAGTACAAAAAAGCAAATTTAAATATAAACTGGTTTCTGAAGAGAACATCTGTGTAACAGATAACAAGGAAATAACCTCCGAGAGGCAGAAGGAAGGGATCAAGTTAACCATCAGGATCTCCAGTAGAAAGAAAAAGCCTGATCCACCTCCGAAGACTCAGGACACCGAGCAGAAGGAAGAGGAAGAAGTCAATGTTGGTCGCACTTTAAGGAGGTCTCCAAGAATATCTAAACCTACTCCAAAAGTGGTGGAGACTCGGGATCAGAAAACTGACAAAAAACGAGGTGAAGAAGAGGAGGAGAAATTGGCAGCGCTGCAAAAGCAAGACCGAAGAGAGGATGTGAAAAAACAAGAGAAGGAGTCCAATTCTAAAGTGAGCAAGGTAACACCATTATAGTGCACAGGAGGAGATGGTTGTTTTCGATCTAAGGAAAACACATTTGTGGAGGAATGTTGAGAAGTATGCCATTATGTCAAGTATCAGAGGGGTAGCCATGTTAGTCTGAATCTGTAAAAAGCAACAGAGGGTCCTGTGGCACCTTTAAGACTAACAAGTATTGGAGCATAAGCTTTCGTGGGTGAATGCCCACTTCATCTTGCGTCTGATGAAGTGGGCATTCACCCACG